TTCCTCCTGAACTCACAAACAACAAGAAGGGTGATGCAGACAGCAGCAGCAGTATTAGCAGTTCTGTGTGGGTGCGTGTACCACTACTGATTGTGGTTACACTGGCCTGTATTCTTGTATGCTGATTGTAATGGTGGTGTGGTGGTGTGACTCAGGTCATCCTTTGTTTTCTTTTTTTCTGTCTTGCATGCAACCCTACAGTCTAACTAATCTTTCATATGTTGGGATTTTCTCTTCTTTTTGTTTCTTAATGTTAATGTGTTTTGTGTGTGTTTTTGCTTTCACTGTGTTTATCCTATAATTATTATTATTGCTACTCCATTGTGTGTGTGTGTGTGTGTGTTCCTGGAGACTCTCTCCGTGTGCACCTGGGCTTGCACTGTTATGATGATGAACTGCTTTTTGCAGTGGGAAGAAAAGAAAATAATAATAACAGATACATATTTATATTTATAATTGCGTATATACATACACATATAAACTTACACCCATAGTTGGTGTATATTTCTTGTGTTTACTTGGTACGATGGGCTAATGGTTAATATCTGTTTATTTGCTTGATGATTTTGCTGGGTGGTTCAGCCTTGTGTGAGATATTTGTGAGTGTGGGCTTTTTTTTGTTTTTACTCTTACTCTTACTGAGGTTATTGCGCTGTATTGCATTCTTTAACTGGTGGGTTTTACTTTCACGATGTGAGTTTCCATAGTGGTAATCGATTTGTGTGTCCTAACATGGTTGATACTTCATTTCATTTTCTTTTTGATTGTTTTTCTTTCTAGATCAGTGTTTTTACGCAAACCAAACTATTCTCTCTCTCATAATGATGATGATGCACCGTGTGATGTGTGTGTTGGCCGTTGTGCTGTGCTGTGCCTGCGGGTATACCATGACGGCTGCTGCTGACTCGGAATGGGATGATTTTCCTGTAATTACAGCCGCTGACCGTGAAAATGCTGAGAACTACCGGAAATGTGCGAAGAATTATTCTGTTGTTATTGAAAATAAAACTTGTGCGCAATTAGGATTCGCTCCGAAGGCTGAAAAAACACCTCAAACATCAATTCCCAACGAAGATGAAGCGGAGGCACGTCCCACCATTGGAGGAAGTAGTGGTGACACTGAACAGCAAGCTGCAGAGGGAATTGATCGACAAGGCCAACAACAAGGATCGAATCCAACAAGAACAGAAAATGATGCGGGAGAACGTGAACCGGAACCAACAGAATCATCGAAAAGACCTCAAAACGTTGAGGTGCCACAAGGTGATCAAGGAACACCGAGCAGCACATCTGATAACAGTACATCTGCCGACTCTAATGCCACCCAGCAATCATCTCCTGCAACTGTTAATGCGACTGCCGCACTAGATTCAGAAGAAACCAATTCCACTACTATGCCGAGTCCCGCGGGCAATGTCAGTGAAGCACCAACCACCACTCCATCACCATCTCCTGTTCCAAACGCAGAGATCAACACCATCGCCTCCGCTGTACAGAAGAATAAGGGTAATGTTGACAGCAGTATCAGTCCTGTGTGGATTGGCACTGCTGCACCGCTGCTGATTGTGGTTGTGTTCTTCTCCGCTACTGTGTACTGAACGGTAGGGATCATTTGAGGTCAAATAATAATAATAATAATGGTTAACCTAACATAATCATAATTGCGTACATCCCATATGGGTAAATAAATTAATAATCTGTTTACCAGCTTTCTCTTGTAATTCGAATGTCTCTTCTTTTACTTTTGTGTGTGTGTGTTCTTTTTCTAATATTTCCATTACTTGCTTTTCCCGTTGTGTGTTTGCAGAAAATTGGGCTGTTCTGCTCACTGACGGTATACATCTCTTGCTAGCACACACATATGTGTGTGTGCAGTAATTTAATACATAAACTAGAGCCATGGGGTATTGTGTGTGTTTGGCTCTCTCTTATTTGGGTATTCTGTGGTGTTCTCTTTTTTTCTTTTTTTATTAATAGGTACATATGATCATACAAGCGGGATATTCTTTTTTCTTGCTTTACTGTGGAGTTGTTGCTTCTCTCTCTATTCCACTGTGTGTATTTGTGCCCTGCATCCACTCACTATGTGTGTCCCTTTTTCTCTTCCTTTTTCTTTCTTTCTTTTTCACAGTTCCTGTGTAGACCTGTGATCTCAAGTGACGAGAACAACAAGAAGAAGAAGAGTGAAGATGACCGTTATGATGACGATGATGAGCCGTGTGATGTGTGTGTTGGCCGTTGTGCTGTGCTGCACCTGCGGGTATACCATGGCGGATGCGTCCAGTGGAAATCCTAACCCGTACGGTGAGAGAGAAGGTAGTCATTGGGAATGGGATGATTTTCTAATGGCGAGAAGTACAAATAATGGGAATAGGGGAAAGAATCTTGCAGAGGAGTGTCCAAAGAATGATGCTGCTGTTGTAGATGGAATAAAGTGTTCGGAGTGGTTAAAAACTCACCAGCAAGAGCAAGTAACTAACCTTGGACAAAGTTCAGCACTCCGTGCAGAGGATCAGATCCCAAAGAGAGAGGGTGACCAAGAGGGGGACATCAACCAACCTGGTGGTGCACGTAGCCCTGGTTTACCTGAAATGCCAAATGCAGCGGAAAATGGACAAGGTCAACAACGTGATGAAGATACACTCGAAGAAGTAAAAGCTCGTGGAAGTCCAAAGCAAGAGGTTGAATCAGAAGCCTCTGTAAGTGCTGATGAAGCTAAAGGACGGAGTGCAGAAAGAACGTTGACAACAGAAAGGCAACGAGAAGAGTCCAATGCAGCTGTACATGGTAATCATGTAACACCGAGCAACACATCTGAGAGCACTACAACTGTCAACTCAACTACCACTCAGCATTCTCCTCAAGCTGCAGGTACGACTGCCACAACGGAATCAGAAGATACCTATTCCACTACTATTCAGCCGAGCCCCGCAAATACTGTCAGTGAAGAATCAACCGCGACTCCTTCTCGTGACTCTAGTCTTAACCAGCAATCTCCTGCAACGGATGATGTGACTGCCGCATCAGAATCACCAGAAACAAATACTACTACTCCACCGAGCACTGAGAACACTACCACAGAAGCACCAACCGCAACTCCATCTCCTGTACCCAACACAGAGATCAGCAGCACTATTGCTTCCACCGTACACAATAAGGCTAATGTTGACAGCAGCAGTATCAGTTCTGTGTGGATGCGCACTGTAGCACCGCTACTGATTGTGGTGTTATTGTTCACCGCTACTGTGTACTGAACAGTGGGAATCATCTGAGCACAACAATAATAATGGTTAAACTAACATAATCATAATTGCGTACATCCCCCATGGGTGAATAAATTAATAATCTGTTTACCAGCTTTCTCTTTTAATTGGAATATCTTTTCTTTTACTTTTGTGTGTGTGTGTTCTTTTTCTAATAATTTCCATTACTTGCTTTTCCCGTTGTGTGTGTTTGCAGAAAACTGGGCTTTTCTGCTCACTGACGGCATACATCTCTTGCTAGTACACACAGATGTGTGTGTGCAGTAATTTAATACATAAACTAGAGCCATGGGGTATTGTGTGTGTGTTTGGGTGTTTGGCTCTCTGTCTTATTTGGGTGTGGTGAGGTGTTACCTGCTCTGTTTACTAACTATTGTACTCTGTTGTGCTTCTGGGTTAGTATGGGCTGATAGTCCTAAAGCTTCTGATGCCTTTATAAAACCTTCAACTGTTGGTGTTCCTTCTCTTGTTTATCATGCTATTTCCCGCGGGTGTGAGACGTCTTGAAGATGTTGGGAACGGGAACGATGAGGAAGATGATGATCTTGAGGGTGAATATGAGGTTGAGGAATACGAGGAGGATGAGGAATACACTTCAACTTGAAGGAGTCCTGTGAAATCCCGCACTGCAGCTAATGCTGAACCAAATGTAAAGAGTGATGCAGACAGCAGCAGCAGTATCAGCAGTTCTGTGTGGGTGCGTGTACCACTACTGATTGTGGTTACACTGTCCTGTATTCTTGTGTGCTGATTGTAGTGATGGTGTGACTCAGGTCATCCTTTGTTTTCTTTTCTTTTTTGCATACATCCCTACAGTCTAACTAATCTTCCACATGTTGGGATTTTTCTTCTTTTTTGTTTCTTAATGTTAATGTGTTTTGTGTGTTTTTGCTCTCTCTATGTTTATCCTATAATAATTATTATTGCTACTCCATTGTGTGTGTGTTGTTGGAGACTCTCTCTCTCTCTGTGCCTGGGCTTGCACTGTGATGATGATGATGAACTGTTTTTTGCAGTGGGAAAAAGGAAATAATAGTAACGGATACATATTTTTATTTATAATTTCTTATACATGAACGTGGAAAGAGGTAAGTTTGTGTTTCTTTATGTGTTGTGGCAGTTGTTCGTGTTTATAATTTGTTTTGCTTTTTTTTTGGATCCCGTAAATTACACTCGGTGTTGTTTTATTGTTCTCTTCTGTTTCTTTTTGATTGTTGTGACTTGTATAATTTTATTGTATGTTTTTCTGGTGTTGTTATTTGTACGTTTGTTTTGTGCACTATTTATTCATTTCTCTCTTGATTTCTTTATTTAATTAGTCTATTGAAGTCAACTACAATCGCAAAGGCTGTAATGGTGAGGTGCTACCTGCTTTGTGTTTTAAGTTTTTTACTCTGTTGTGCTTGCGGATTGGTATGGGCTGAACCAATCAAGTATACTATGAATCATAGCGGTATGTTGGTCGTTTGTTTTCCTCCTTCGGAGGCTGTTCTTCTTGATAATGGAACTCCTGACTGTGTTGTCCCCAAAGTAGTGAAGACCCAAGAACCTCAAGAGAACCATGCCGTGGTGAGACAACAAGAGGGACCACAGATGGAAGAAAACAAACCGAGAGACGCTGGACCTGAAACCGTGAGGGAATCACATCCGGATAGACATCAACCAACAAATGGAGGGAACACAAACTCAAAAGGATCAGGTGCTAATGAAGGGAATGATATATCTGCTAATGCATCTCAGAGTTCACCTGAGACTTCTTCCAACACTTCACCCTCACAGGAAGCAACCGTTCATCAAACTACACAGGAATCCAAAGATACTCCCAATAAACAAATTCCTGCAGCTACTAGTGGTGAACGTTCTAATGACCCTTCTGGTGGAGATGCTGCTTCTCCCAATACATCTTCTACACCTGGTGATGGCAGCAGTAGTGCACCTGCACGTAACGGTCAACTAGACGGTGCAGCACCACAACCTTCTTCTCCTTCTTCAACCAATTCAGACACAGTGAGTTCCGGTAGTTCTGATACTGCGAATACTGAGAACGGCACTACATCTGCAGAGAGTGAATCAACAAGTAACCAAAATGATGGAGGAAATGCAGATACAACCACCACCTCAAACACCACAACAACAACAACACTTCCTCCTGAACTCACAAACAATAAGAAGGGTGATGCAGACAGCAGCAGCAGTATCAGCAGTTCTGTGTGGATGAGTGCGTCTCTACTGATTGTGGTTACACTGGCCTGTATTCTTGTGTGCTGATTCTAGTGGTGGTGTGGTGGTGTGACTCAGGTCATCCTTTGTTTTCTTTTCTTTTTTTGCATGCATCCCCTACAGTCTAACTAATCTTTTACCTGTTGGGATTATCTTTTCGTTTCTTAATGTTATTGTGTGTTTTGTTTGTTTTTGCTCTCTGTGTTTATCCTATAATTATTATTGCTACTCCATTGTGTGTGTGTGTGTTCTTGGAGACTCTCTCTGTGTGTACCTGGGCTTGCACTGTAATGATGATGAACTATTTTTCAGTGGGAAAAAAAAGAAATAATAATAATAACGGATGAGTTTATATTTATAATTGCTTTTATATACACATATAGACTTACATCCATAGGTGGTGTGTATTTCTGTGTTTACTGGGTAAATTGGGCTAATGATTAATACATGATTCTTTGTTTGCTTGTGGTTTGCGTGGGTCATTCGGTGCTTTTGCTCTGCACGGTTTTTGGTAATCTGTTTTATAAGAGCAAAGGAACAAATAGTAGTTATTACAATTTGTATTCTTATGTACTTGAACACACCAGCATACCCAGTGGTCTGTGAGTTATTTTTGTGCAGTTGGTCCTGTTCTTAATTTGTTTTTTGTTTTTTTTCATTTTCGTTGCTTGGGCGCTGTGTGCTTTCTCCTGCATTGTTGTGTGTTGGATTGTTTTGTGTGGAGAAAGAAAAATAAAGAATACACAAGTATATTTGTAATTGGGCTTGGTCCTAGAGGAAGAGGCATTTTGATGTATTTCTGTGCTTTACTCTTATGGTCGTTCTCTTTAATTTCTTTTTTTTTCTTTTGGGGGTTAATTGGGATTATCTGTTTGTTATTGGGTATTGTATGCGTTGTTCCTTTAATTTGGGTACTATCTAAGTCATGGTGCATCTTTTTTGCATGTGTGTGTTTCTGCTTTAATTGTTGAGTGTTCTTTGATTTGTTGTGTATTCTTATTTTCTTGGTTTCATTGATTCTATTTGTTTCTGGTTTTTCTATCTGTTTTTTCTTTTCTGTAAGCGATTGAAGTAAGACTACTGCAAGAAGTATTGTAATGGTAATGATGCGCTTCGTGCTGTGTATCCTCGCTCTCCTGCTCTCATGTGCGTGTGTGCACGTCCTCGCTGAAGAAGTGCCTGCCGCCGATCTTTCCGACCAAGTCCCTGATACGGAGAGTGAGACAAAAGGTGGTAATGGTCCTGGTAGTGATGGCAAATGCCCTGAAGGTACTGAACTTTCTGATAACAAGACTTGTACTCATAAAAAACCCGAAGCTCCTCCTGCTAAAGTACCGGAAGTTCCTAAAAAACCTGGACTCGACGCTTCCACTGATGAACAACATAATCATCACCAATCTGAAACTCTTGGTCAAGGAACTGCTCAGAGTCTTCCTGGTGCCGTTTCTTCTCGTGGTGAAGATGGTCTTGAAGATCGTGGTGTTTCTGGTGCTCCTGGTCAAGTGGGTGACCATGGTTCAAACGGTTCATCTGGCGCTGGAGCTGGTTCACCAACAGGGGCTGTTTCTGAATCTGCTGCACCTACTACAACGGAGAGTGAGGCTGAGGCTGCAGGTATCAGTCGTTCTGGAAGCAGCGACAACAGTTCAACAGGTGAAACTACAGCTAGACAAGGAAGTGAATCAACAGAAGCTTCTACCTCTTCTCCCAGCAGTTCACCCACAGAGAGTGCCAGAGGTGCTGATGCTGAAACACCTAACAACGCCACTTCGTCTGCAGAGAGAGAATCAACGGACAATCAAAATGAGACAGGCAATACAGAGACCACCACCTCCACTACCACAACAACTACAACACTTCCTCCTGAACTCACAAACAACAAGAAGGGTGATGCAGACAGCAGCAGCAGTATCAGCAGTTCTGTGTGGGTGCGTGTACCACTACTAATTGTGGTTACACTGGCCTGTATTCTTGTGTGCTGATTGTAATGGTGGTGGTGGTGTGACTCAGGTCATCCTTTGTTTTCTTTTTGCATGCATCCCTACAGTCTAACTAATCTTTTACCTGTTGGGATTATATTCTTTTTTTTCTCTCTTAATGTTAATGTGTGTTTTGTGTGTTTTTGCTCTCTTTGTGTATCCTATAATTATTATTGCTACTCCATTGTGTGTGTGTCTGTTCTTGGAGAATCTCTGTGTGCTTGCACTGTAATGATAATGATGAACTGTTTTTGTGTAGTGAGAAAAAGAATGAAATAATAATAACAGATGAATTTATATTTATAATTGCTTGTATATACACATATAGACGTATACCCATAGTTGGTGTATATTTCTGTGTTTACTGGGTAAATTAAGCTAATGGTTAATATCTGTTTGTTTGCTGTTTGTTTGCTGGGTCGTTGATCCCTTTTTTGAGATATTTGTGAGTGTGGGCTTTTGTTTTTGTTTCTACTGTTAATGAGGTTATTGCACTGTATTGCATTCTTTAACGGGTAGGTTTTTCTTTCACGATGTGAGTTTCCATAGTGGTAACCGATTTGTGTGTCCTAACATGTTTGATACTTCATTTATTATTTTCTTTTTTTACTTTTTGATTGTCTTTCTTTCTAGATCAGTGTTTTTACGTGAAACAAACCCTAGGAGCTTGTGAAAAGAATATGCGTCCGGTTTTGGTCTACTAAAAATTTTGGGTTTGAGTTATGTTTTACTTTCCCTCTCTCTTGGGTTTGTTTGTAGTCAAAGAGCCTCGGTTTTAATCGAATAGAAAGGATCTAAGATTTGGTTTTTTCTTTTTAAGTTTAAGGATTGCAAGTATGG